CTCTCTCTCTCTCTCTCGCGCTCTCTCTCTCTCTCTCTCTCCTCTCTCTCTCTCCTCTCTCTCTTTCTCCTCCTCTCTCTCTCTCTCTCTCTCTCGCTCTGTCTCTCTCTCTCTCTCTCTCGCTCTCTTCTCGCTTCTCTCGCTCTCTATCTCTCTCCTCTCTCTCTCTCTCGCTCTCTCTCTCTCTCTCTCCTCTCTCTCTCTCTCTCTCTATCTCTCTCTCTCTCTCTCTCCTCTCTCTCTCTCTCTCTCTCTTCTCTCTTCTCTCTCTCTCTCTATCTCTCTCCTATCTCTCTCTCTCTCTCTCTTCTCTCTCTCTCTCTCTCTCTCTCTCTCCCTCCCTCTCTCTTTCTCGCTCCACTCATCACTCCACTCGCTGGGCTGTCTCTCCTCTCTCCCCTCCCCCCTCTCTCTCTCTCTCCCTTTCTTTCTCGCTTTCTCCCCCTCTCTTCCTCTGTCTCTTTCTCTTTTTCGCTCTCCCCGTGTCCATCCCCATCTCCATCATTCCCTCACGTCTCTTTCTCACTCTACATGGCTTTACTCTCGCCATTTTCCGCGCTTACCCATTCCTCCTTTCACTCTCATCTCTCGTTCTTTCTCGCTCTTGCTCGCTCGCTCGCTCGCCAGACTTAAATGGAATCCCACTGTTGTCATTGCTGTGAAATTAATAGATGATCTTCAAACCAGTGACTGAACTCCTAATGTTTGCGATTAAAATGTTGGCTATTCATGTAGCCCTAATATTTGTACCGGTTATTTGCCTCATTTTGAACTCACAGGTTTTGCGGCATGCTAAAGTTATGCATGATCAGCATCAGAGTTATGTAAACAAGCCCTGTGCAAAAGTTACCTGACGACTCGTGCTTAATATGCGTATTGGAGTGTCACCCTAACAAGTGATCTCACGTGATCTTACGTGCGTTCATTGCCTCACTTGGCGTGGAGTATTTCTAAACATTTGTAATGCTCATATGTTGCTAAGGCTTGTCATCGGTGTTAACATAATCATTACCCGGTGCTCTATAGTCTCGCATATTCTTCAAGTGTTGCATATTTTTTTTTCTGCTGCCAATTTTCTATTGAATCAAGGTGACCGACCGGTGCTTCTGCGCCTCTCGTGTACTAGATGTACCATTTCACACTGTGGTTAAAATGAAATATTGTTAGCTACTTTGAAGAGTTAAATTAGAACTATTATTTTAATTTATAAATGTGATTTCTTTTACGTGTGTTGTGGACAGTGCACGAGATTGCATATTTCAAAGGGTCCCTTTCACAGGGCTTGTTAAGTAGATTGTGGTCAAACGTAGTGTTGCGTTTTCTGTTAAATCTCCTTCTGAAACATTGATTATCCTCTCCTTTCGACTGACCTGGCTGCACTGGCAGCAAGCAGAGTGTCTCCAATTTTGTGCCGCCAAACTTGGCCCCAAATAGGCGTCCGACTCCTCTTCGTTAGCGGGGCCACCCCTTCACTCCCGCCGCCCTTATCCCACATCGCTCATACCTGAGGGCATGTGACGTCACACTCCGCATGGCCGGGCTCCAGAGGCTGCCCTGATGCTTTCGGTGTTGTACATACGCTACGCGGGCGCGGGCGTCCGCGAGCGGGGGGCTCGCGCCCCGCCGCCGCCGCCCTGGCTCCTCAGCTTGTGCCAGCCACGCGGCCGCTTCCCCGCGAACACCATCTGTGACCGCCGCCGGCAGGCTGCGCTTACCCAGGCTGCCGCCAGATGGCTTGCCCGTTCGCTTTCCCTGGCGCCGGGAACATGTCGTCAGGTTGCGGGAGAACAGGGAGCTTGTACGGCGCAGTGACCCACAGTGTCTCGTTGGTGTGACGATGTACAGACGTGCGTGGATGTGCTCGAACTGACCCGTTTCAGCGGCAGGTGACGTCGGAGCAAAGCATGACCTGGCTGCTTGTCTGGACATGGATATGGTCGAGCCGTGAACACAGTTACGCGTAACATTCGCACACACACACATACACACACACACACACATACACACACATACAACCATCATGCGCAGACATATAGACGCGTACCTTAAGCCGACATACACACGCACGCTCCAGGAGCGGTACATGGCTTACATTCGTTTGTTGACTGGATGGCGCTTGATAGCGGCTGGTACGCGGTGTGCACGCGCTGTCTGGTGGCCGGGTGCGACCGGCTGTACATACGGTCCTGCGCCGGCTGCCGTAATCGCCGCGCCCGTCGAGGCCCCGCGTTGATGCGCTGTGTTCTCTCTCTTTCTTTCTCTGTGTTGTGCCCGCCTGGCTGTGGCTGCGCTGGCGCCGCCGGTCTTCATTTGTCTGCGCCGCGCCACCCGCACGGACCGCCACCCGATCCGCTTGGCTTGGCGCTTGCACGTCACTAACGGCAGGCGGAGCAGCCGCTCGCCGTGGCGACCGGGCTGGAGGCGAGCCGGAAGCGCCCGCGCGACGCCGCCGATGACCTGGTCAGCCCATACCCGCCGGCGCCGATCGCGCCTGGCCGAGTCGAGCCGCACTGCTCGCCGTCGCCCTCACGCTCACGCTCGCCTCGCTCTCGCCGGCCGCGCGCCGCGGCGGTCGTCGGCCGCCAGCCCGCCGTCAGGGCTGCACCGTCGCGCACGGACTTGGCGCCGGCCCTGACTTGGCGCACGAAAATTTCTGGCGGCGAACGCACCGACTGTGTCCGGCTCTGCCGGCGCGTCATGTTCGGAAATTGGTCCAGATGAGCGGAGCTCCGTGCTCCGGTGCTCTCGCGGGGCTAGCAGTGCGGCGCGGTGCGGTCTGCCACGTGCTGAACTATGGTGTACCGTACACGGAGAGCGTAACGCCTGTTGTCTGCCACTCTTCTGTCCGTTCCCTCCGCACGTCATTGTTCGCGAATGCTCACTTAAAGCGCGCTTCCGCCGCTGACATGAACACTGCATGGCTGCCTAGACTATATGAGATGCGATGTACCTGCTGGCGTTCCTCGTTCTGATTGGTTCTGTTCATCGAGACCCACCCTTCCGCCACCGGGGTTCCTTTCCGAGAGACGTGACCGATCGCCGGCTGGTGCTGCGCCGCCGCCGCCGCCCACCCTTCACCGCGCTCTGTTCTCTTTCAGGGCGAGCCGGCGTACGACGCTCAAGTATACTTTGGTGTAAGTCCGACCGCCGCGGCGGCTGCATGCTAGCGTAGTGCGGCGCCGCGGCCGGGTCGGGGCGTGCGCGCGCCCGCTTCCGGCGCGCGCCGGCACTGGCCCGCCGCCTGTCTGTGGCTTGGTCTGGCGCCCTCTTCCCCGCGCCGGCCTGTCTCCGTCGGCGCCGTGTGACGCGCGCCCGGCGGCCGGGCGCCGCCCCTGCGTCGGAGCACGCCGACCCGCTCAGTGCGTGTCAGACCCGGGCCGTGCCGGCCGCGGGGTCCGGACCGGTGCGGACGACGACGATGCGCGCCCGGAAGGTCCGGTCGAGCAGTGCTGTTACACCCCAGCCGCGCACGCGCGCCGAGCGGAGCGGCCCCTGGCGAGAGCGCAGACTGTGTTGGCCGCCGCGGTCCGCCGGCACGCGGCACGCCGGCCCTCGTGTACTGTTGTTGGCGGCGGGCGTGGTCGTGCTGCGCCCCGGTTAATCCGTCGCCACCTGCCCTCAGGCCTTCCCCGGTATGGGCGTGGCCTACAAGCGTTCGGCAGGGGACAAGGCGGGCATTCCGTGTTACCCCGCGCACAACGCGGCCAGTTATCAGCAGCTGATGCTGCAGCAACAGCAGAACTATCTGCACCAAACATCATGTGAGTACCCGGCCGACCAGGAGAGGCCCGGCAGCGGTCACAGCGCGACGAGCACCGGCGGCCCGGCCAGCGGCGGTGCCACCAACGGACGCGCCAGCGCTGCCTCGCCGCCGCCCAGCTCCTCGGCCAGCGACAGCGGCGCCGGCGGCCACGAGGCGGCTGTGGCGGCGGCAGCGGCGGCGGCCGCCGCCTCCCCGCAGCAGGCGGTCACCGTCAGCTCTGGCCTCGCCTCCACCCTGACCACGTCCTCGCTCATGGCTAGCTCGGCCTCGGTGCCCGTCATCAACCCGGCCCTCTACACGGGCTACTCGCTGAGCAAGGCGGCGCTGCCGGCTGCGGCCGCCGCCGCCGCCGCCGTGCGACCCATGTACCCGGTGGCGGCGGCGGCTAGCGTGCCCGCCGGCGCCGCCGCCGCCGCTCTGGGCATGCCCCACGAGCAGCTGCTGTTGCATCAGCAGCAGCAGCAGCAACAGCAGCAGCAGCAGCAGCAGTATCAGTACCAATACCAGTACCAGCTGCTGCAGCAGCAACAGCAACAACAGCGGCTGCTGATGCAGCAGCAGCGGCTGCAGCTTATGCAGCCGCAGTACGCTGCTAGCCCGTACCTGCAGCAGGCCATGTACGCCCAGCCAGCAGCCGCTGCCACCTACACGACCTCCTCTCCTTTCCTGGCTGTCGGGGCCTCCTCGCCCTACTTTGCCATGGCCGGCTACGGCCAGCCGAGCGCGCTGGCCAGCCAGCAGCAGATGCTGGCCGGCACCAGCCCCGGCACGTCCGGCTTGGCCGCCAACGCCGCTGCCGCCGCTGCCGCCGCCGCCGCTTACGCACAGATCCAGAACGGGGAGCCGGCGCTGAAGCGCATGCGCAAAATGTAACCAGCCTCTGGCCGGACCACCGAGTCACGCTCTTTCAGCATCGCACAGTCGCTGGCGCACAGCCGGTGGCGGTGGCGGGCGCCCTGTCGCGGTCGGAGGAGCCGGGTGGCGCCGGGTCGCGTGTGATAGGCGCGCGCGTGCGCGCGCATGCCGCGCAGTGCTCTGCGCGCGACGCGCCAGACGGACCGGGGCCTAGTTGTGATAAGCTTGGTGTCTGAGGGAGGCGTACGCAGAAAGGAGAGCTTAACCGCTAGTTTTGCCGGGCTTTGCCGGTCGCCCGTTGTCCGGTACTTCCTCCGTTTAACATATCGTGCGGGCCGGACTGTCTCACGTTAAGAATGTTGTTCAGTTTGGATCGCTTTTGCATATCACCCTGTCGAGGTGCTGATTTGGTGAGGTTTGATTTCAGTTGTGCCATATGATGGCAGTATTGGACGATCCATCGCTTGTGTGTTAACGTAGCCAAGCTCGTCCGTGTTGGGTCCGACAGTGCAACTGTCTGTAAAATTTCACTGTCCTGCCTGGGCGTTGGATTCGGCCATATTTTTATGTCCATGTTTCTAAACGTGTAGTATCGTTCCAGTAGCGGAGAGAGGAAAACATGGCGCGCGAGGGAGAGGAGAGCGCGCGCGCGCGCGTTTGCGCGACTTGTTGAATGGGTGGGGTGTAGTCTAGTGGCTTGCGCTGTGCGTGGCCGGTGGCCGGCCGCGGCGTCCGCCGCCGGCCGCTGCCGCCGCCGCCGCCGCGCGCGCCCGCCCTCTGTGATGACGGTGCGCCGCCGCCGAGCCGGCCGCGCGCGCCTCGTTGTTTTACTGGTAGCCGTGTCGGTACCGTACTTAGCCGCGGGTTGCGAGCCGTTCAGTCACAACTGTGGTGCCAAACTGGAGAGAGACAGAGACAGAGAGAAAGAGGGGGAGAGAGAGCTTGTCGACCGGCGCCGTGTCGAGCCGGACTGAACGCGCGCCCCACCCGCTCCGCCGCTCTGTGCTGCCGTGTGTTGGACGCGTCGATTGGCCTGTCGTTCTGTCGGCGCGGTGGCGAATGCAGCGCACTTGGCTACATGCAAGCGTCGGGCCGGTCTGGCTCGGCCGACAGCCGCCCCTCAGGCCGCTGCTTGGCCCCTGGGCTTCACCGCCGCGGCGTCGGCCGTGCCCGGCCGCGCCTGTCTCGCGTTCCGGTGCCATTTTGTACTAAGGTCTGGATCTCTGGTCGCTGGCTTTGTGGCGGCCGCCGCGGGCCTGCGTGTGTGTGTCCGTTTGCCGGCGGCTTGTGTGACTGCGGTGACTCTGGTCTGGTCCGGCCGCCTCTGGTGCATGCGCGCGCATCTAAAACGACCGCCCGTCGTCCGTACACAAGTCTAACGCACGCCTCTCGACTGACCCGCCGCACCGGCGCGGGCGCCGCCGCGGCCGGCCGGCCGCCGCGCGTGACTAACGGGCCGCTCGGGCGCCACGGCCGGCCGCCGCCCGGCGGGCCGCGCGCGGCGGTGGCCGGCCGGCCGGCACGGTTGCCCTCCCTGCCTCTCGTTCGCGTGGCTCCCAGTGTGTGCACCACGGGCGGCAGACTGCACAACTTGCAGTTAGCGGATTGCCTCGTAGATGGCATTGTAAGATACGGCTCTCGTCGCTGCGCGGTCCGCTTGCTGGCTTGCACGATGAACTGTGTACTTGCTGTTTGTCTACACTCTCGGTGTGTATTTCTATGTTTGTATTAGTAAAGTCGTGTCATAAATGGTACCGTACCCAATTTTGGGCTCTTCTTTTTTCACTAATATTTTAGAAGCTTGAGGCCACAAGTGATGACGGACGTCGGGAAAGGTGCTTTTGTAGTCCGAACCGCTTCCCAGCTTCATATGTGATGTCATATTACCAGACATTAATTTCTCTCTGTTTGGCTTTTCCATGTTCTTCCCGTAACATCGACCTGCTGATCCCGCCTCATCCTTCGCCATCACCTTTACCCGCTGGCCCTTTCCTCGGCCCGGCTCCTGCTGACCTGGCCCGCTGTCTGCGCTCTCGTCGGAATGGCGCCGGCTGTGGCTTTGAACCGGCGACGGCCCGTCTCAACCGAAACGCTACTTGTCAACACTCGTCGGCCGCATCTCTGCCGGAATCGACCGCACTTGGCCACTCTTTCCCTGACTGGCGCGCCGGTCTGGATCGTCTGCGATCCGGGCGGCGCCTCCTGACCCGTGGCATGGCTTCGACTCCTGTGCATGCTGGCTGGGCTGGCTCGCCGCCGAACGCTAGGCAATAACGCACACTCTGTGACATACACGGATAATGTGGGACAGGTAGTATGAAGCGATTTTACCTTGCGCAGCCGTGGGGCCCGCTTGTGGTCCCGCTTGCGCTCTCGTCCGTCAAGACGTGGTCCCGGCTCCCGCCTCCCCGCGCCATGTTGGGCGCCGCCCGCCCGGCCGCCTGCTGGCCGCGTCAGCCCCGCCGCTGCCGGGACCACGTCTTCGCGCCGTCTCCCGTCCGCGGGCGGCCCGCGCGCGGGCCCCCCGACACGCCGTCCCCAACCGGCCCCAGTCCAGGCTTCAGGCGGTCCTGACCCGTTCCCAGCGGGCGCCGTCCTGCCCCGACGCCTTGCCACCGAGCACTTGATGCGTCCCGCCCACCCTCTCTGTCTCCGACTGCGTCTTTTCTGTGTCTGGACTTCTCCGTCGATTTCGTCTGAGATCTCGCCGTTTGCCCCAGCGACTTCTATATTTTTCTCACTTGCTATATCCTGTTCCCCTCCACTGTCGTGGAGTGTTGCTCTCGCTGTCTTTTTTTCACTTCTCGTACGACGCGCCCGTCCTTTTAACAGACCTTGCCTTCCTGACAACCCAGCAACCCCGCTGCTTTTGGGCCCTACGGCTGCGGTTTTACTGCTTTTCGTGTGTTTCTTTTCTTTTGGCAGTATTCAATTTAGTTTGCCGCTGCTTATATCAAAGTCAAGAGGTTCTTGAAACTGTGGCTAAATCGAATGCATAGTTGAGCATGTCGCCAAGTAACGACGCTTCAACAGTCATTGCTGGTCACATCAAGTTGTCTGTGAGCCGCTTGCAGGCCGCGTTTGCCTCAGTCAACAAGACGTCAGTCAGTCAGTCAGTGCCACTGTAACGATAGGTCGCGTTGCGTACCGAGGGCGCGGGTGGGGGGCGGGGCGGCCGGTGGCTGATACGCCGCCCGCCGGCCCGCCTGCCGCCCGCCCCACTGTCGCCTGTGACCGTGACCCCTGCCGACCCGGGCCCCGCTTACCGGCCTCCTGTGTTCCAGTTGCTGGACAACCTTCCAGTGTGCCAAGATTTTAAGAAAGGAGCCTGCATCCGGCCAGCCTGTAAATTTGTGCACTATGTTCCAGGTGCGTGGACGAGTGTTGTACCCGGGGTGCCCAGTGCTAAAGGCACATGTTTTATTAGTGGTTGGGCTTATGACATAACTGTTGATGGAATGTCTTCAATCCAGGCTGAACGATATCAGTCGGCCATGGGCGTGCCCCTTCCGTTCAGGTGGTGGCCGATGCTGTGTTTTCAAATGTGAACTTATGAACGACCACACACCAACTTTTGACTTCGTTGACTTATGACGTTGACGTGGCATTGGACCTAGTCATTTTAACGATGCGGAATTAGCAGCCTATTTTTGTTGTATGGGTCAATTACGCTTGACATTGTTTAGTTCGTTCGGTGATGCTACTACAGTTCTTTACAATTATAGGGGTATAATTGAAGATACGGTGTAACGTGAAAAAGTCGGCTTCACGACCGCAGAAATCTGTTTGAACGCGGCTTCAGGACCATAGAAGACACTGTGAATCCCGTTTACGTGTTGGGCGAACCTGCCGCTAATTGAGAGTTGACCAGGTGAAGCAATGCAGGACAGCCAGTATAGTGCGCGCGCTGGGCCTAGTGACCCTGCCCGCTCCTTACTCGAGCTTGTTGAAGTGGCCAGTGATCAGACCCCGCCATGTTTACGTCAATCGGCGTCGATGGCGTGTCTCTAGCGTATCACGTACTGTAATTCCACGGAATTAGCGCTCTTCTATTTTCGTCGAAGTTCATAGCCGTCAGCCATTATTGGATTTCTTTCATACTCGCGCTTTCGTTGTGATCCCACGACTACGTCAAACACTGATGTCGCGCAGTTTCGTTTTTGCTTGCATGCGTAGTTACGAATTCGCAGGTATGGGGTGTCTGGGTGAGTTGCGCCTTATTACAGTTAACATTTGAGGTGAAATCGCCGATTGTGGTCCCGTGATCCTGTGGCTCTAGCAAGCTACTATCTCTAAGCTACCACCTATGAGGTCAACCATACGCTTTGGCCGGCAAAGAGCATCGGCAGAGGATGCTTGATCTACCCCCCCCCCCCCTCCCCGATCCACGGATACATCCACGTGGGACTATCAATGACACGCACTTCGAGGACTTGGAGCCCCTCCCGTGCGAAGGTGACCGGCCCGCGCTGGCGTGACCTCCACCTGAATGACCTCTGCCGGTGGATGGGGGAGGCGGGCGGCCGCTCGCCCTCGGCCTTCGCGGCCTCGCCGCTGCCGCCAAACATCGACTCAGCAGACTAGTTCGTGACGAAACGAGAAAGCCTTAACGTCACACGTTGGCCGGCTTGCCAGCGAGCAAAAAGTAGCGCTGCGCTTTGGTTGACGGGATCGTGTATGGGTGAGGGCTTGTATACAGAGGAAATACGCCGTCGGCACATACGCTCATAGTAAATGAGCGGATCGATATCGTCAATTCTGGAATCTCGGAATGTCGTTATTGTCGGTGGTGTTCTCGACCCACGTATTATACGAATCCGTGGGCTAAATGCCGATCAGAATGAGACTGACCCCGCTATCAGTTTTGCAAGTTCAAGATCACTCGAGGGAGCTTTGCAAGGTGTGATCCTCTGCTCGTTGGGCTCCTTTGTACTGGAGGACTGGAAGCGGGGCTTGCACCCCGAGTCAAGTTGGGGAGCTGTGACCGAGGGCAGTGGAGGGGTTCCCCTTTCGTGCGGCGAGACGATGGAGTTCACAGGAGTTAATAAAAAGTACGCCACGGATGGCCCCACAACGTTGAGGTGATACGAAGCTAGAAGTTGCTGCGTATATGTTTCGTAAATTGGGCAGATGCTGCTGACTAGTGCCGACGACAGTTGTCTGCGCGAGCCGTCCTTAACATGAGTTTGTGCCTGTGGGTGGAGGGGGCGGAAGTGTGCGCCGCGTGACACCCCGGCTGACCCGTCTGCCGCAGACTATGTCGAGATTACCAGCAGCAACCAGGTGACGGTGTGCCGGGACTCGGTGCGCGGCAAGTGCGCGCGGCCGCGCTGCAAGTACTACCACCTGCCGGTGCTGCCAACCTCGCCGACCGAGTCGGCGGCGGCGGCGCGCGCCGTCAGCTTCCAGCTGCTCTGAGCGCGCGCGCGCGCCGAGCCCCGCGCCGTCACACAGACACAGAGCGACGCACGGAGCACGGCCGGCCGGCGGGCGGACCGCACAGGCACCCCGGGCAAATCAAACCACTGACGCTGTGTGCTGTAGACAAGTCAGCCGGCTCCGCCGAAGCAGGGCGGGCGCGAAATCAAACTATCTGTGGGCGGGTGGGCGGGGGTGGGGGCTGTGGCCGGCGTACGGCCGTGTCGGTCGCGGCTCCACCCAGCATGAGGCCAGGATCGGGCCGCGACGCACGCCGCCCACCCTTTGAACTTAAGTGATAGTTCATGTTAAAGTGTTCTCATTTTGTATAGACAAGTACCTTATCGGAGCTCTTCAAAAGAGTGTTAGATAGCGCGCGGATATTTGGGTATTGGATGCCACAAGGTGGAGAGGGGGCGGGCCCGACCCCGCCGGGACAGTCAGGTCGCGGGCTGGCGCCGGGGCCGCCCCCTGGGAGCGGCCATCGACTGGGTTGTTTGTACATATTTATAAGGATAGGGTCTAGTCAGAGACACAGGGTGCGTGGGGCGGGTGGCGGGGGCGGCGTCCGGTCCGCTCCGCCCCGCCCCGCCCGGTCACGTCCTCTTCCGGCTGGTGGGCAGAACCGCTTGGCTTTGTGACGCGTTCGCTGGCGGCCGCCGCGCCGCGCTGCCGCCGGCGGCGCGGCCGGCGGCCCGGCGACGCTGCCGACGGCGGCCAGGGGCGGCGCCTCCAGGCCCCAGTCAGTGCCATAGCAGCCGGCCACCCGGGCCGCCGTGGCCGCGTCGCCCCGCTTCTCGACCTGCTGGGTTGTACCTGAGCAGCGCGCTAAGTTGACCCCTGCTGGCTTGTGAGAGCGCGAGGGCCCGGGGCCAGTGGGCGGCCGGCGCCGTCCGTTCTAAACGGCGCTGTCGGGCGCCACCAGCGATCTAATCGCAGTCGGTCGGTGCGGACCGCGGCGCGGCAGTGCGGCGCGCGTGTGGCGTCGGTCCGCGCCACCGAGTTCGGGGCCCCGCATGCCAAACCCAGATATCCTCAACACGCAGATTTAGGATTAGTTGGCCGCCGCCCGACGGCAGTGCCGCCTACACGCGGGCGACACTGCGGTCGTAACGCTTTTGCTTAGCATAGAGAGGGCTGGACGGGACGCGACCGGTGGCCGGGGCCCGGCGCCCCGACCAGCGCGCGTGCGCGTCGGCCCGGCGCGGCCCCGCCTTCGTGGGGTCGCTCGTATGTGTTGCATGCTTCCCTCATTGTTTCACGCCGCCACCGGTGGGCAGACCCTTCGGGGCAACCGGGCAGGCTACACGCTATGTGAACACTGCGCTTCTGAAGTAACCCTGGACGACGCCGGTGACTTGGCGGGGAGGGGCACGCTGATCGGGTCTCGCGCGCGCGGGCGCCAGGAGTCCGGGCCGCGGCGGGGCGCGGCCGCCGCCTCCGAGAGGCGGCGGCGCCGCCCGGCCGGCCGGGCCGCCGGCGCCCGCGCCGCAGTCGCATGGGTAACCGCCGGGGTGCGGGCCGGCCCTAGGCCGCAGCCCGGCCGTCGGCGGACAGAATACGGGTGCCGTGTGCAATAGTGTCTGAAGGGGGAGGGGGGCTGCCGGCGTCGTCCGCGTCGGCTGTCCGCTCGGGGCGCGCCGCGAGCACACTAATGCCGCCCGCCTGGCCTGTCCTCTCCTCACTCTCTCTTGCTATCTCTGTTTCACTGTCCCTCTACCTCTCTCTCTCTCTTTCTCCCTCCCTCTCTCTCTCTATCTCTCTCTCTCGCTCTTTCTTCTCTCCTTTCATTCTGTCTGTCTCTCCCTTCACCGCTGTTGATTTGGTGCGTACGTGCCGCGCGCGGGCGGGGCGGCGGGCGCGCCGGCGTGCCAACACGCCCTCTTCATAACCGGACAGTACAAGTGTAGCTGCGCACTGTCTGGCGCCGCCGCAGCCGTGAAATACTCGCCGCCCGCGCCGCCGTCGCCCGCTGCCCCGTCCGCGCCCTGTTGTATAGGTTTAATATAGGTGTTACCAATGTTGTGCAGTTACTTTTTTAACTGTGATGTGCGGAAAAGACCAAAAGCGTAGGGGATTCCCTCCACCGCATTAGAGAGACGTTCTAAGCAAAGTGTGGATACCAGTTTATCACATGTTTTGTAATATTTCCCTCCAGAATTGTATTTTTTGTTCATTGATAAAACTCTGAATAAAGTTATTTCGTATTGATTGTGTTGCAACTCGTCCAGGCTGCAGCGCCGTTACTGGTGCCGGCGGACGGCGAGACCGCGGGCGCCGCCGCAGAGAGCCACTGGCCATGTCCGGCCGGCCAGACCGTGCGCGCCGGTGCAGTTCTCTCCCGGCGCTCGTTATCCCGTGGAGTGTGGGTGCGTAGGCGTGTGAAAAATACGCATGGCCGGACACTGAAAGCAGTGACGAGGGAGACGTCCAAGCAGGAAGACCGAATCATCTGCGCACAAGATGTATGGCAGTACAGCAATAGTCAGGTTCGTATGCAGGTTTTCCTTACGGGAGTACGGCGAGGATGCGTCACGTTTTTGTAACAGACTAGCAGACTTACTTCCGCCGGCGAGTGCGGCCGAAACGTCAATCATTCATATCTGAAGTGTCCAGCCCCAGCATACAGAAGTACATCACGCGCATAACGGGCGTGGGTTTAGTTGACGCGCAAGCCTGAACAAGCCACATTGTGGCCAGTTGAAGTACTACAAATAAGTTGTCCGTGAAGACCCTGACAGCCAGCCTGGCAGCGAATCTGCTCCATGATGCCAACAAACAAAAGCATTGAGCATATGCATAAAATGGTGACATCGTGATGTTGAGAGCAGTCTTTGTGAAAACAATTACACATTTGCACTTGCGATCATACCAAGTGAGCTCATATCATGTCCGATGCTTCCTTCAATATCTTCAAGTGGAAACATTCCTTTAGAGAATAGTGCTGTAACCGAAAATGCGAACGCAAATGAGAAATAAGCTATTCCGGAAAAGTATACGAGGCCATCACAGGAAAAAGCCACAACGCATGAACACGATGCATGCAACATAAATTTACACAGACGTTTTGCGGCGTGTAATGCGGCGCGACATTTTGCGAACGCCATTTTGCGGCGCGTAAGAGAACCACAGGAGAGTCGTGCCGCTCGTTGCAGTGGTAACGCCTACACCCAGCCTGGCAGGATCGTCATAACATTATCCATGGTGTAAACAAACAATGATGTATTGAGGAGCACATTCACTTAACAGGGAAATTGTGTTTTGCAAAAAAAGTCTCGCTCTTAAAGCATACCAATAGTGCCATGTCCCCTTGGCTTGGCTTGTTCACCTGGCGACATCTCGTGGGTAATGGCGTAACTAGTGATCGTGATGACTGGCTGGTCAGGTGGCAGTTCCAACCGATGGAGGGGTAGCCGACAGCCGCGCGTGCCCTGGCGCGGAAGTGGTTGAGATGTTGAGGTCTAGAAGCTGATGGAGGCGGTGTCCCTAGAAAGATACTGAGTAGAGCCGTACGAACACGGAGACTGCTTGCATTCATCATTTCATTCTTACTCGCGCACCGCAGAACAGAGAGATAAAAACTTACAGTGTTCGAATCATCATCAACCCGAATTTTCACCCGCTGCGTGAATTGAACATTTCGGCGTGGTCTTTGACGTCTGAGTGGCGGCGATGGCGCTGGGAATGGGCTTATTGTGCCACAGCGTCCGAGGCATGGGAGAGGCCACGGGCAGTGCAAGAAGCAATTTCATTTGCCTGTGCTGGAAAAGGATCACACTAAGTCGCAGTGTCTCATTTTACCGACTGGCAAGAAACTTACCGCTCTTTGAGTCGCAACCAGCGGCCTGGAGGCAGTTTGTGTCAGCACTGAGGCTCCTAGCTGCAACCTGTGACTTTTTCGACGAAGACAATATGATCAGGTTTCTATGGAGTTCCTTATGTTATGGTTATGTTAGTTATGGAGAGATCAGTTTCTATGGAGCGCGAGAACGTCGGGTGCAACAAGCGCTTCAAAAGTAGTCTGAACTCACGCTCGCCCTTGCGACGGACATTGTCCTCGCCGAAGAGGCGGCGAGCCACGACATCAAGGTGATGGGTGGAGAAGAGCAGCCCCCGGTCACCGCAGCCGTGTCATCGCAGCCGCGGAGGAGAGCTGCACTATGCTAGCAGGCTCCTCTCACCTGTGTAAGCTTTGTGGGAGGCACCACGTCATGAACAGACGGTTGTGTCCGGTGTGGGGAAAAGAGTGTTTTGACCTGCAGAGGCGGCAATCACTTCGCGGGGACTCCTGTTTGTCCCCACCGTGATGCAGCCGACCGACAGCCGGCGTGGCCTGCCGCCCGCGCCGCCCACCTGACGCCGCCGCCGCCCGCCGGCCTACCGACGGTGGCGCCGCCGCCTGGCCGGTGGCAGCTGCGGGAACCAGCGCCCGGTGGCGGTAATTTTTCATTAGAGCCATTTCAGCCAGAAATGATCATTTCAGGGCTATGGAATGAAGGAAAATGGTTAATGGTGGGGCAGACTTGCATGCGTCTGGGGGGCCAACCGCCGGGCTTTAACCCGCGCATGTGCGCTGAGTACCCGGTCAGGATCCCCTTCCCACGGGGCTCTCGGCCCACTCGTGGCTGACGCATGCAGCCTGCCCCGGACAAGCGGGATGCCGCGAGGGTGCAAGATGAAGCGATATAGACGACAAGAGGGACGGATGCGTGGCGGTGGCGGGTTCGACCGGCGTCAAGCGGCCGCCGCGCGGACCCAGCCCGACACTGCAGACGACGGTGGAGCGATGCTGCACGACATCATGTCGGCGGCCGGCGATAGCTTCCCAAGAAAGGCTCGTAAAACTTTGTACACAACAGCAGGGCCTTAGTGATATTTTTGATCGATTCGTGTGCGGAGTGCGATGTGCTGTCCAGGGCAGATAATGTCCGTGCCTCTGGGGAGGTCGGTTGAGCGCGACTGAAGCCATGTACAACGGCTTTGTGTGTGTTTCACGGGGGACTTGTATACGGTGATGGCATAGTCGACTCGCAGCTTCATAACCCTGTGTCTGAGAGTGTTTGTATATTGAAGTGAAATGTTATGGAAGATACAAATGCTCCGATTCTCAGCTTCAAAACCTCTGCGCCTCTATCTGGTTGATGTGAAAAATTGTAATTCGCTAGACTATGTCTATCGCAGTGCCGCTGGCAGAGGCGGAGCGGGATCACGAGCAAAATCTGTGTGCCCTTGATCGCCCTCGTGCTCGGCACCTGGTTCTGAGCTCTGATAAGTTCCGGTACAAGGTACCGGAGGTCAAATGAATGGGTTGTATCCTATATGGTGCCAAATCCGGCAAAAGCAGCGGTTGTTCAGCAGCATCCAGTCCCCATCAACGTGCCTAGTCTGAGGAAGTTTTTGGGAATGCTAAGCTCCTCTATCTCAATTTGGGAAAGGTAAGCTACATCCCGAACGTCCCGCATCTCCCGGCTCCTCTCCGTGAGCCGGCGCAGGCGCGCAACGAGTGATCATGGTCCCATTTGTGCCAGGACGTATTTGACAAAGTTTAGATGCTTCTGACGAATGCCCCCGTCTTGAAGGTCTACGATCCATGTGCAGAGGCTGCCGTGCGATGATGTGCGATGCTACCGATGCGTCCGGGGCGATGCGTCCAGCTTCGGTCCCGGTGCTGCTCTGTCACGGGAGGAACAGCCCGTCACCCATTGTTCCCGCTCACTCACGTCATGTGAAATCGCATTCTCACATGTGGAAGAGGAGCTCCTGGCTGTCAGCTTTGTGATGACACGCTTGGATCAGTGCGTGAATGGCAAGCACGTGACGGTCGATACGGACCATAAACCGGGGGTTTCGATCGTAGCGAAGCTGCCATGCTATGCTCCGCTGCACCCCCAGCAAATGCTGCTTCAGCTGCAGAGATATTATTCCGAGGTATTGTGTCGTCCCGAGTCGTAGGTCCCTGCCGCGGATACCTTGAGTCGTGCTCCCATTAAAACGCCACGGACAGCGCTCGCTCTGGCACGTCATTGCTTCACCTGACTGATGGTATCTCCGTGGCTCTCCAGCGGCTGGGGGCGATTAGAGCAGCTACTTAAGCCGATCCCGTGCTGATGGAGGTCACCGGACAGCTGCGGCGGGGATGGCCGGACCCCGGGCGCCATCTGTCGGTCACTTTTAGGGCATTTCATCCCTCCTGCGAGGAGTTGGCACCACAAGACGGTTATAAGAAGGACGGCGTATGATCATGCCGTCGTCCCAGCAGCGGGGCATTATCACTCGACTCCACAGCGCTCACATCGGCGTGGCATCAATCCTGCGATTGGCGCGGTGAAATGTGGTCTGGATTGGAATGTCCAGCATGAGAGGAGAGGATGTCCTCAGGTTCCCGCTTGTTCGGCATATCGGCCTGCGCAGACGCCTGAGCCGCTGCTCCCACACGAGCTCCGAGAAGGCCGTGGGAAGCAGTAGCAGTGGATCGGTTCGAAACGCGTGGCTCCGCGTATCTGCTGCTCGTGGTCTATTATACAGATTTGGTGGCGGTTGAACTCCTTATTCGCTCCACAGTGCCTCACGTCATAGCTGCGTTAACCTCACAGCTCGCTCGATTCGGCCTGCTGGAGACGCTGGTCCACGGTTACTGGATCTACTGGTCAGTAACTACTGCAGAGATATACTGAGCAGCTCTGGTCAGCGACAATGGGCCCCCGTTGAACAGCGGCGAGTTCCGCGCGTTCGCCAGCGACCTCGACACCCTCTCGACTCGCCACGTGACCAGCAGTCCGCGACGCCTGCAGTCAAACGGTAAAGCCGAAAAATCGGTCAAAGCTAAAAAATTATGATGCGCAAAGCAACCAAAGACGGTAAAACTGCGCTCTGGGCACTACTCATGCGGCGGAATACTCTGAGTGAAGGGATGACTGTTTCTCCGATGCAGAAACTGTTCGGTCGTGCCTGCTGGACATTCTTACCGACACTCCGATCCGCCCTCCTCCCGCGCTACCTCTCTGCAGTTGCCGAGATACTCTCGCGCCAGAAAGCCCGTCAGGCTTCCGTCTGTGATCGAAAGGCCAGACCGGTGCCGCCCCTGGTTCCAGGGCAGTCTATGAGGATGCGCCTCCTCTTAGGGGACGTGGTCACCTGGAGTGTGCGTGAAGATTGCGGGGCGGCGCTCCTTCTGGGTCCGAGTCGACAGCGTGCTGCACCGCAGGGC